CTGTCCACTCAAACTTCACAGTCTTCCTCGTCAACTGGGACAAAGGGAGGGCAATCTTCGAGAACCCCTCAATAAATCTGCGATAATAACCTGCAAGGCCGAGGAAACTACGAACCTCGGACGGATTCTTTTGTGCTGACCAGTTCTGTACTGCGGCAATTTTGGAAGGATCTACTTCAATACCTGCTTGAGTGATAATGTGGCCAAGAAAAGCCACTCGCTGAAGCCAAAATTCGCATTTAGAAAACTTTGCATATAATTTTTCACGTCTAAGGGTCTCAAGAACGGCCCTTAGATGCCCTTCATGCTCCTTCTGGCTTTTGGAATAGATAAGGATATCATCAATGAATACAATAACGAACTGATCGAGAAAAGGATGAAATACACGGTTCATCAAGTCCATGAATACTGCTGGGGCATTACTGAGGCCAAACGGCATAACCACAAACTCGAAGTGACCGTATCTCATACGAAAAGCTGTCTTAGGTATATCTGACTCTTTGATTATTAGCTGATGGTAGCCTGAACGCAAATCAATCTTAGAAAACACGCAGGCACCCCTCAATTGATCAAATAAATCATCGATCCTGGGAAGTGGATATTTATTCTTGATCGTCAACCGATTAAGATCCCGGTAGTCGATACACATACGCATAGATCTGTCCTTCTTCTTGACAAAGAGAACGGGTGCTCCCCAAGGTGAGACGCTCGGTCGTATAAAACCGAGATTCAGCAACTCTTGAATTTGGGTCTTTAACTCTTGTAATTCCTTAGGTGCCATTCGATACGACGCCTTAGAAATGGGTCCGGCTCCAGGGATAAGATCGATGGAAAATTCCACCTGTCGGCTAGGTGGACCGTCGGGAAGCTGATCTGGAAACACGTCCACGAACTCACGAACAATAGGAATGTCATGAGGTGACCGTGCTTTTGGCTCATCTCCAACGAGGCTCACAAGGTAACCCTGACAATCTCCCCGTCGAAGAATCCTCTTGGCTTTCACCATAGAAATAATATGGGGCAGAGTGCGAGTCCTAGAGCCGAAATAAATGATCTTATCATCTCCCGGAAGATAAAGAGTAATCTCCCGGTCATGACATCGGATATCTGCGTTAAAACGTGTTAGCCAGTCCATACCGAGTATGAGGTCAAAATCCCTCATCTCGATAACATAAGCATCAAAAGTCAAAATATGGCCGCCGACGGAAAGGCTGAGATCGGTGGCTCTGGCGTCTGTCACTATCTTTCGTCCCGAGGCCAAACTAACCTCGAGAGGGTCGACAGTGGTAAGAAAATGAACTCCTACAGCTTCAAGACATCGGCGTGATATAAAAGAATGGGTTGCTCCGGTGTCAAATAAGGCATAAACAGGCACATCATTAAGAATAATCATCCCAGACATGGTACCTGGGTGCTGGTCGGCCTCTCCCTGATCAAGTGCAAAGACGTGGGCCTGCTATCTGCCACGTTGCTGTTGCTGGGGTCGTGGTGGCTGCTGCCTGGGTGGTTGCTGTTGAGATTGCTGAGGTGGCTGTCGTTGTTGTTGTTGTTGTTGCAGACGTTCGGGACAGTTGGTGCTGATATGGCCTGGCTGGCGACAA